GTTATTTCCTTTAGCATGCGCAATGGACCCCCGATATAATATTTCGGGAACTAAATACGTAATTGATCAAATCAATAAAGTTTTAATACTTGATACACCTATCACCTATAAGAATTTAGAGCAAATATTATGTGGAATGTATGATTTATATGCGGAAAGAATGGGTGCAAATATTAGTCGGGTACCCTCTGCTGCACCTACTCCTTCTGCTAAAACTGAAGAAGATACTGCGGAAATAATGAATTTATTTCAGGGCATTAATACATTTAGATATGATGCAACTGTAATGTGTTCATCTAGTGCCATGTCGTCTACATCTGCATCTCATCAAACATCAGTCGAAACTCAAAATGCAATGCCTGGCAAATTAATTAATTATTTCAATCATAATATGTCAACAGATAGAACAATTAAAAAAATTCAGAAGAAGTAATTGAATTCTGGCGAAAGTATGAAAGACGTTGGCCAATTGTTTCTGCAATTGCTAAAGATCAATTGATACCTCCAGTTAGCACTGTTGCTTCGGAGTCTGTTTTTAATGCAGGTAAAAGGGTTTTGACAGTGTTAGGAGTCGACTGAAAGATGTTTTGGAAGCGTTAATGTGTGTGAAGGATTGGCAGGACGCTCATTCTCGACTACAAGATAAATACGCTGAAATTGCATGTCGTCAAGTAAGTGATATTTGATTTAATTATATTAATCAAAATTTTTTTATTTTTTAATCGTTAAATTTAATTTTCTTTAAAAAATTGTACACGTTACAACAAGTTGTTCGTGTACAATTTTTAACTCCGCCTACTTGAAATTGATGTAGCCAGTCCCAAGCCCGGATAAAGGAGGAGGGTTTACATTTTTCATTATATAAATATTTTATACTTTATAAAAAGTATTACAAATTACAATATGATATAAATAAAAAAAATATAAACTTGTTTTTGTTAAATTATTTGTATTTTTTAACACTTTTTTATTTTTAAAACTCTATTCTTTATTTTATATATATATGTAGGCGAGCCCACGAGCTGAAGCTCGGCTCGGCCCACGAGCTCGTGGGCCGAGCCGAGCTCTCCCAATTTCAACGAGCCGAGCCCGAGCAAGACCCTATTTTTTGCCTAGTGAAAGCCAGAACTCGGCTCGCCACGAGCACGAGCCGGGTCGACTCGGCCCATTGCCAACCCTACTAAGCGTTCATGGATAGCTTGCAACTATTTATTAATTTCATGTTCATATTCTGGAAAAAATTGGCATCTCTGTCTTGTTAATTTTTCGGAATGGAAGGTTCAAATATATGACTGCAGTGAGGAGTTTCATACGCCAGAAGAAATTGGGAACAAATAAAATCATTAGTTGAAATAGTCCAAATTTCATTGGATTCTAGCAATTTTTCTTCTAGGAGACCAGATTTAAGGAAGCACAGAAACAAAATGCTCGAGTTGGAAATTATACTTTACCAACCTTGCGCACATAATGGGTATGTATTTAATGCATTCAAACTGACGTTCTTTCCAGATTTATAATTTTACTCTTCCACTATTTATTTTGTCTAACACAAAACAATTTTTTGATATAGGGCAAATTCTCTTCTATTTTTACTCAAATACATAGAATGCTTTGTTTTAAACTGTCCATTAGAAATAGTTGAAGCAGACAAGATAAGTATATATAGAAGAAAAATTGAAATAGACATTTGTTATAATCAATATTTTCAACATCCCCGTAGTTGCTGATTAGTTCTTGACTGTAAATGTGTATACCTAAGGAATTCTTTGTAATAAGTTAACTTTGAATAAACACTCATTTAAATGAATATTTCTTGCAATAGAAAAAATATAAAATGCTCAACTGTCTTTCAACCATCCACATCATCACATTAGAAACAAATGCTATTTTTGTTATAGGTTTTAAGTATGCATAAACTTCATCCCTTTAATAATTCGGGGAAAAATAGCCATGTCGTTAACCTGTTACTCAACTAAAAACATTATAACAAAAATTTTCAGCTATTGTCAATGGGGTTTAGTTGTTTCAACTATGAATAAAAACTTAAGAAAAGTTTTAGAAAGAGAAGATCAAACCTAAATTTCCTATACAAATCCAATATACATTATATTGACAAATAAAGCTAAACGATAAAGAAAAAGCACTTATGTAGTTAAATCTGCTGTAGAGAACTCCTTCCACAGGTGTAAAATCAAGTCAAAAAATATCTTGTAATCAAAAAATTTGAAGATTTATTAATTTCTTTTTGTTTAAATGGATATGTTGAATGAAAAGAAATAGGAAAACCTTAAATGACGTTGGTATAGTTAACTACAAGGAAGTGTCACTCGTGTCTAAAATAAACAGTGTCAAAAGTTAGAGGGGGAAAATAGAGTCAATTCCAACAATAGCATTTGCTAAGTTAGATAGAAAACCATCCATGATATCTAGGCAACGTGTCTTGATTCTCCACTAATTGTAATTTGCAATTAACGATTTCGCATTTCTACTTAAAAAAATGAAAAAAAGAAAAAAAAAAAATTGGTACCAATTTGCAACCATCCATGATATATAGGCCAAGTGGTGCTAATTTCATACTTCAACTTTAGAAAAAAAATTGCGATGTATAATTAGGGCAAAAAAATGGAAAGCAAGACTCGCACAGAGAATTTAGAGAAACAAATGAGATGGCTCTTTGTGTTGCAAACAGAGATTTTTGGATGTGCAGCGTGGAATTTTTTCGCCTTCCAGCTCTGAGATGGCTCTCCGCTGTGGACAGTAAAATAGACGTCTTCGAATAGGAAGTCAATTTGAATTTGAAGGCAACCAAATTCACGTGAAACTTGGAAATGAGAGTTTCTTACCTTTAGTGTGAAAGTTGGAAAGAAGAAAAAAGTTGTCGTCCTAAACAATTTGAGCTTAAAAAAAAGAAATTGGAAATGATAGTTTCAAATGTGAAATTTGGAAAGTTGTACTATTGTCCTACACAATTTCATGTTAATCATAGGGTGTTTAAAAAAAAAATAAAAAAAAAATGCTCCGTACTGTGCGGAGTTGCTCCGCACGACTCTGCACCGTGCAGACCACTCCGTGCGTTGTGCACAGATCTGCTCAGCACAGTGCAGAGCTTTTGTGTGTGTGTGTTTAGTCTTCTATTTGGTTTCTACCGTTTCTTTGGTAAAAAGAGGCTAAAGCCAAAAAAAAAAAAAAAAAACCATTCTACCCAAAACCGATTGTTGGTCAAAATAAGCACGAAAGATGAAATGGAGCATAAGAAGGGCTTAATAAAAAGAATTTGGTACCTCTAGGATTGGAGAGTTTTCTTTTTCTTCTATCGTATCCATGCTTCATACACCAGATTAGGAACAAAACAAGAAGCAAAGCTAGAAGAGTTTGCTATAATTCCATAATATTATTACTAAGCTAAATCACTCACAGGGCAACTCTCCTTTGGCATGTCATTGGAGTTAGTATATAGAAATGCCAAATAAGAGCCGCCCTATGAGTCGTTCGAGCTCGACATCTTGCTTCAATTAGATCATTTGAATCTATAATCATCACAATCCCAATTCGTGGGTTTTTTTTTTTTTTTGGTCGAGAAACCAGGATATTTATACATACATAAGCTGCGTTTGTGTTTTCTTGACAACCCTAATCTTATTATATACAAACTCCATTGGTGCTAGAATGGCATATGCTTTTGAATATCCTAAAAGGATGCCTTTTTCCCCCTCATTTTCCCTAGAAGAAATTAAAGCCCATTTACGAGGATTTATATACCATATTCCTCCTTGCCTTTGTCCATGAATTTACAGGTAAAATTCTGTAAAAAGATTTGAAAGGAGATGCTGTCAACCCGACGAAGTGTCGAATTATCAGAGGCCATGGATTGGCATATCCTTTGTTATATGCTTTCTTTTGTTGAATTGGCTTTTCAGAGATTGAAATTCTAGATTTTCGTGGCAAACAGCTTCTTTGGAAGCATCTCCAAAGGTGTCGTTTTGAGCAGAAAAAGCCTGGCAGCACGTTCTTGCAAAGTACCTCCACATTTCAATCCACATGCTTGAAGCTCCAATTTTAACCTCTCCAAGCCAAGAACCTGTAATTGATTGTAGTTACGTAGTATGAGTGGCTAGTCACATACGCACAATAATTGAAACTTCGCACTTTATTATATTGCTTTATTTCCCTTCCAATTTTAACTTGCACTTGCTGACTAATGCTCTTAATAACTAAAACATAATATGACAAACTACCAAATTCCTTATTTAAAACACACAAAACAAAAATACAGTGCAATTTCATTTCAACATACAAAAATGGGTACAACTTTTATCTATTTTCTCTGCAAATCATTTTTTGAACAATACATACTAACACTTCCATACAATTTGATAGTTTACTTATAGCTTTCATAACTCTTATGAATTAATGGATTTTGGCGAGTCATATTCTTCTAAGCCTCCATTAAAACTTCTCCAGCAAAGAGAAAACTTCATTTTGAGCTAATTTTAATTATTTGGTTATTCTATTTAAACTAAATGAACCCTATTTTAGGAATCACACTCTATTTAAGTATCCATTCACCTGATCTGCTTCAATTTCCACTTTGCACAAGTGACTCCAGGCTTTTTCTGTCAGTTCATAGCCCTTCAACAATGTTTTTCCATTAAATAATATTTGATTACCCGAATTTTTATTTTTCTAATTTCCAAATTGCTCCTGTTTATATTTGCTCTTACGACTACTTTGCAATTTTGAACGCCATCCCCTTCACATGAGTAACTGGATTCCATGAATATTGATGTTAACCTGAGTTATCTCCAGCTCAACAAAAAGCACCCCAAAAAACAAGCAGCAATAACTTTGGAAGTGTGTTTTGTAAGGAATAATCAATTACCAATAATTGCAGCAATTTAGATGAATCAACGAAAAGAAATTTAAGTTTCCAGCTATTATCTCACTTATTGGTTTTATGGGTTTATGGAATTAAACCACTGTGTTATCAATGGCACAAGAGAAGTAACAATCAGTAGAAACATAAACAATTCAATCTAAACCATAATACAAATTGCAGAAATGATATTCCTTATACAACACATTTAGTTGAAGCTAGATTAGTAGATATCTTCACCCGAGTATTTCAAAACTTGAAGTTTGATCAAGTGAGAAGAAAAGGAAGTTTATTTTCAATTAGCTCCAAACTGAAACTAAGTTTACATAAGCATACAAGGCTTTTCATTTCTTGGCAAACAGCTTCTTTGGAAGCATCTCCAAAGGTGTCGTTTTGAGCAGAAAAAGCCCGGCAGCACGTTCTTGCAAAGTACCTCCACATTTCAATCCACATGCTTGAAGCTCCAATTTTAACCTCTCCAAGCCAAGAACCTGTAATTGATTGTAGTTACGTAGTATGAGTGGCTAGTCACATACGCACAATAATTGAAACTTCGCACTTTATTATATTGCTTTATTTCCCTTCCAATTTTAACTTGCACTTGCTGACTAATGCTCTTAATAACTAAAACATAATATGACAAACTACCAAATTCCTTATTTAAAACACACAAAACAAAAATACAGTGCAATTTCATTTCAACATACAAAGATGGGTACAACTTTTGATACATGAACTGCCACCCTTTGTTATTGCACTTCACCAACCCAATAGTTCAAGCCTTCTCTACCTCCATCACGATCAAACAGGAAAAATCATACAAAAAGTAAAGCATCAAGTATCAAAAATTTCCACCCATTTTCACCAATTCGAAAATTGAAAACTTTTCTCCATTACATCTTTATATCTTTTCCGGTTATACTTTTCTACCAAGGAAGAACATAAAACAACAACTCTACCAAAAAAGGAAAAAAAAAAAAAAAAAGTAGTATACAAAACATAAACATATACATACTTTATACTGGCAGTGAAGCATTGAGTTTTAGCACATTTACACTGCACAATCACCAATCAAATTCAAAAATCCCTTTATAATATCTTTTCTATTTCCAATCTTTTCGCCAATTACAAGCGTAAAACAACTCTCTACATTAATCAACTCTCTAATGGAAAAATCATACAAAAACACAGAGAGTGTGAGAGGTTTGGAGCTGAGTAGCAAAATCTTCGAGAATGCCTTCTTTGCTAATGCCATGTTCGAGGCATAGCTGTTTACAGAACTCCATCGGAGAGTATATACTTTTACTTGCTTGAATGCATACAAATTTTGGAAGTTAGAGTTCCAATTCTACGATCTGTAGAAAGAAATCATGAAGAGAAGGACGAGAAAAATACCATAAAGCCCAAAAACATCTTGCACATACTGAAACAAACAAACGGTAAACCTAGGGGCAGACCCAGGATTTTGGTCAAGGGGGCGAGATTTTTTTAAGTTGCTGGCCCAACGCAATAAAGAATAAAGAATTACGTAAAAAACAATTTCAAATTAAAAGAAAACGATACAAAATGTAGTACTTTTTTATACAATTGTTCCTTACGGCCGGACGTCGTTCAATCCAACTTCTTCTCCCTGCTGTTGGCAATTTCAACAAGGAACAAATCTGTTCTTGACGAAAAACCCAGAGTTAATTCATTAATTACATGACTAAGCAAGCAAAGTTTGCTACTGATTATGCAAATGAAATTGGTTTTGCATAATTCTGTCTTTATTTTCTTGTGGCTGTAGCTTCATTTATTGCTTGCTGACAATAGTAACACTCCACCAGCACTGCAAAACCAGGCTGCCAAAGTTAAAAATGAAGGGTCCAGTGGGGTCAGTTATGAAGGGTCCAGTGGGGTCAACTGACCCCACTGGACCCTTCATAGGCCCGCCCCTGGGTAAACCTATCCACAAACCTAGGATTCATAGCCAAAAGATCTGCACACAAGATGTTGAGAAATTAGAGCAGAGAGATTTTTTTTTTTAATTTTTTTTTTTTACACAATTCTTCCTTCCATTTAAAACAGGCTACTATAATATACGGCCTAGCATTGAAAGACATAAAAAAAGAAACCATGAATTGCAAATTTTAAACACTACCATTGCATTTATTGCAAATTGTTTGTATTTTTTGCTACCATCGAGAGAGAGATTAGGGTTAAAGCAAGAGAAATTCGTCAAAAAAAAAAAATGTAGGAAGAACAACTCAGAAAAGTAATAAGAATGAAAAGCTGCTTTGGGCCTCCAGTGTTCGACTGCTTCTTTGGCCATTGTCACTCCAATAACCACAAGCAAAGGTGCGAGAATACTAGTTGCTATGTAGGCTCGAATTTTTGTGTGAAAAATGGGTTGCTTGTAGTCTCTGATTTTTGTGTGAAAAATGGAGAAATAGAATATTGTAGGTAGGAGAAAGAGAAATGGAAATGATGGTTGCGTGTTGAGACTGGAATAAAATGATAGTAATGTTTGTGGTCAAGAGGAAAAAAGGCATGGCCGTAGTGTCTGAAAATTTAAAATGGAGAATGGAAAAGTCACAAAAAAAGTGACACCATTTTTTCTCTTGTACAACAACTCTATCCCTTCTACAGTAGCAACTACTTCCCACTTTTAAGAGAAGTTAGAGAATGAAAAAAAGAAAAAAATAATTGGCACGAATTTGCAACTATCCATCATATCTAGGCCGAGTGGTACCAATTTCATATTTCTACTTTTAAAAAAAAAAATTCCTATCTAATAACTAAGGCGAAAAAAATGGAGAGCAATACTCCTCACAGTGCAGAAAAATGCTTCATAAGTAGAAAAAAAAATTTAGAGAAACCAGTGGAGATGGCTATCCCGCGTAGAGTGCAGACTTTTTTTTCCGTGCAATGCGGAGATGGCTTTCCACTATGCATGAAAAAATGGACGTTGCCGCACAGCAAGTCAACTTGAAGCAACCAAATTCATGAGTATGAAACTTGGAAATGGGAGTTTCTTACCTTTGTTAATTGTTAATTGTCCATGAAAGGAAAGAAAAAAATTTGTCCTTGGTGCTTAAAAAAAAAAAAGCAAAAAACAAAAATACTAGAAATTGGAGTTTTTACCTTTGTTAATCGTTGTGTGAAACTTGGAAAGTTGTCTAAGCAATTTCTGCTTTATTTAAAAAAAAAAATAATAATAATTTGCGTGCATAGTGTTCGCACATCTGTGCGGTGTGTAGATGCGGAGTGTCCGCAACACTTCGTGCACTTCACTCCGCACTTTGCTCTGCACTGTGCAGAGCAAAAAAAAAAATTTTCCCCTTCTCCAATGATTTTTTTTATTCTCTATTTTCTTTAGCACTATTTGGTTTTTTTTTTTTTTTTTAGTTTTACCATTTTTTACCAAGATATTTAACTATGTTATTTATTTGACTAACCACCGAGATAACATCAATGACCTAAAAAAATGTTGGTTTTAAATTTGTGGTTTTACAACTAGAATCGTAGTTTATCTTCTAAGAATATTTCACCACTAAAAATCAGGAAATTTTGACATATAATCACAAACAAGAAATCTACTATTTACCTTTCAACAACACAAATGAAAATAAAAAAACCAAACATCATTAAAAATTCAAAATCACAACTCTCCAACTTGAATGGCTGAAGACGTGGCCTTTTTTTCATTAGAGCATTTTTTCCCATAATTCTTGTCTTGCCTCCTAAAACAAAATAAAATCCTTAATTTTTTCGATTAAAACGAAAGATTAATACCACTCTAAAAAATATCTTGCAGATGTAGAACCAGTAAAATGGAGCCAACACACATTCAATTCATAGCCTGTGTTTCTATATTTACTTACCAAAGCCGAAAACTACCTCTCTGCAAAATAAATAAATAGAATTCATTCGACTTTGCAAATAATATATAAAATAGACCTATCAAGTGATAATCATTTTTATTGTATAAATGTTAGACCAAGTCAAAACACAGATATATTTCGAAGTTGACAACAGGAAAATATTCTATTACAAGTTGGTTTAGATGCTTAATTTTAACTGCTTGCTTCTTACAAATGCTATCAAGCTCCCCCTTTCTCCAAGCTAGAGGTAAATCATTCTGTGTAGACAAAATTCAGTAAGTTTAATGATTAGGATATAACCCAGATCTTTGTCATAAAGTTTTACCTGACAATTTAAAATAGGCTAATAACTTGTTTCCATCCAAAAATAGCTAAATAAAAACTGATTTGATAAAAAGTAAATGAATAATACTTTACAAGACTAATTATGTGCCAATTTGTATATAACCCCGCACATAACACATTTCAAATTGGTGTTTAACTATCAGAAACAAAACCAATTCACTTTACAAGACTCCTAGTCATCAAATGAGTTTGCAGTCAGATCCCCACACTAAACATGTTTAAAAATGTTATAATAAACATTAGATTTATATCATTTTTATGTGAAAATGAATCTCACACCATATATTTTAATGGATAGCACTAAAGTATTAGTAAATACACACAGAAAACAACACAAAAACAATTCGTGATAAAAACCAAATAAAAGTACCAGTGACTTTGTGGCTTTTCCACCTTCTTCTAGACAATGTCATCCAATTTCTCCCACCAAACATTCTTATTTTACAAAGAGCACATTTAGATAGAAAAAAGACAAAAGAAGAACAAGAAAATGCTAGAAAAGCATTCGTAAACAACTCATTTTAAAAACTTTCATACAATTAGGCCTCCTTATATGTTAGTTTCTCATTATCACATCAAACTTCACACTGAAATACTGAAATTGTAATCCGAAAAGAATAAAAAATTCAAGTTATAAAGAGTGCCAATGGATACCAAAATTTACCCACATGTAATTATTCCTTTCGAAATTCCATTTTCCTAGGGAAATATAATTATGAAATGAAAATATTGCTACAAAAATCCCCTTTATTCTCCTCATCTAGTCCTCTATCCAACTACAAAATCACAAGTACACACAGAGTCAAAAGAAAATATCAAACATGAATATAAGATATAATTTAAAGACTACGAAAAGAATATAATTAAAAATCAAATCATCGTACACAAGATCCGACCAATTTAATTAACACCGAGCCTTCAACCATTTTCAATATAACCTACCCATTAAATAAGCCCAAAGATAGCACGACAAACCCCTACAAACTTTTACACATTTATATCTAAGCAGCGAAAAAAAAAAAGTAAATAAATAACAAAACACATATGCAAAATATTTATACAATCAGGGACGGATCCAGGATTAGATCCAAGATTGGGCTATGCGTTAAAAAAATTTAAAAAAAAAAATCTACACATAAAAAACTTATTTTTTACCAAAAAAAAATACCTTTAAAAAAAAGTTCTTGGGCCTGAGGAAGGGGGGGGGGCTACAGCCCAGCCCAGCCCAGCCCCCCTTCAATCCGTCTCTGTATACAATGCATAACCCAAAGAATGACAAGCTTGTACCACACCAATTTTGAATGATGTAAGTAATGAAAATAAGTGAAAACTGTCAGTTTACCTGCGAGGACTAAGAAAGAAGCTTCCCCCATGCGTCCAGTAAGTGATTTCAATTGCCCTTCTTTCCTCGATTCCGCTAGTTCATTCAATTTCGCTTCCTCTGTAGTTACATAAGCAAATAGAAAAAGTAGAGAACGACAGACATAATTAACAAATTTTCAAATTTTGGGAAAAAGGAAGAAAAAACCAGCAACTAAATCGAAAGAAAGCACGTGCACATGCGGAGGAAAAATATCAAACCTGAACCCTATAGTTATGGAAAAAATCAAGGGTCGCTTTCCACCACCGCGCATCAACATATGGAACATCATCCCTCGGCGATTCTTTCACTCAGGATAGAGAATAGAGAAGAACATGAGGAGAATATGTTTTACAATTGAAATCGTTAGGGTAGAGAATGAGAGAAGAACTCATGAATTAGGGAGACAGAAAATCAGAAGAAGAAAAGTAAAGGAATGGTTGTTGGAGTGAAAAAAATGGAAACGGCATGGTATTCACAGACAAAAACAATAAAATTTTTTTTTACAAGAAATGACGTCATTTTCTTCTTGTAGAGTAACTTCGGATTGCTTTACTGTTCAGTAACCTCTTGTTCCCGTTTTTAAGAGAAGTTAGATATTTTTTAGATAATATCTACTAATTGTAGACTTGTAGTTATATATCCTATCCACAAACTATCCAAATCTTCTCTCTACTAAATCGATTTCTTAAAACAGTGCAAATAATCATATAAATTAAACACAAAAATAAAATATAAAAAATCATGAATTTATTTAAAGCAAAGTTGTAACTACCTTTTGTATATATAAATATAGACGTATTTTATTGATAAATAAAATAGTAAATTACAACCTTGGAGGAGGCTATATCGTTATAGACGTGTCAGTTATATTTTTCATAAGAAATAATTGAATTACTGTACTTCAAGTGTATGTATTGCTTTGTGATGTGAATAATGAATAAAAATTAAAATAAATAAATAAGAAAATAATTTATATAATTTTATGACACATAAGGAGCACATTATTAAGCCCCTCTTTGAGTTGTTTATTTTTTTTATTTTTTTGAATCAAAATGCATTTTCAAACAGTATATTGTTGAAATATATGGTTAAAAATTAAGAAAAAATTTTGAATTTAGGTGTAAAATTATTTTATGGAAGAATGTGTAATTGAGAATGAGTTTTAAAAAAATAAGTTTTTGAAAAAATAAGGCCCTAAGATAGGCAAAGCAATGTGGGAACCATGTTCTTACCAATTCAATTTAGTAGCCAAGAATGGCAATTTGATTGGCCATTTTAGATGGCAACTTTGGGTAATCAATAGAGGCCTAAATATTAAGTATACTAATAAATCGAATTAAATGTTTCAATATCCACTGAACTTCGCTCTATGTTACAGCTTGCTCATCGAACTTCATCAATCGTTCCATTAGCTATTGAATTTTGCTCCATCCAACTTTATCACCAACCCGATGGAATCCACTGCTAGACTAGCCTAGTAATGGGAAAATGAGCCAGTTAAAATCACGCCAAATAGTAACAATCTCACCATCTCATCACCACATCATCAGCAAAAACGCTTCTAAAACCATTTTCTTAAAAGGAGAAAAGACGATTATGAAATCCCCCTAATATTCATCTCCAAACTGGTGAGAAGAGTGTAAAGACCCCCCAATCCGACTGGCAGGATATAGTAAACAATTGTTCATTGGACCACGACATGATTTGAACTAAATTAAAGGTAAATTACCTGCATCTTGTTAAGGGGGTTTCTGATTTAGTATTTTATAGAATCTTGGTACAAGGAAACTCGTTAAATAATGATGATTGGGAGCTACTAGGTTGTCGTGACTGGTTTGGGGAGGGTTGGCATCTTGGCGTTGTGGGATTGTAATAGAAGCAATTGTTCTTTCAATCTCTCTAACTGAGTAGTAAAAGAATAAGGATTAATCTATAATTTATTCGACATTGATAGAGATATCCCTGCAATATAACAATTTTGATGTTGTCTTCAAACAAACATTGGTCAACCGATGCCAACTGCTCTATTCCTTAGTTTTCCCATCCATTTGTAATGTTGTTCTTTTAGGATTTTTGACATAGTTTGAAGGTTTTAAGTTCAAATCCTAAAGAATTATGCTATTTAACATCGTCGATATTTAACACCAGTGTAGAGGATTATTGGTTCAATTAAATACGAGGATTTATCACATATTTAGTCCCTGTTTGTTTCCCATTATTTCTTTATTAAAATAAAAAATATAACTGTTATCAATCACATCAAGCCTCCAAATTTGAGTTTTTATTTCTTGTATGGGGCCCATAACAACTATAATTTTCATTCTCATTCTTTCAAAAACGAGAAACAAATGGGGTATGTTGATATGTAGATTGATGTTCAACAATACTGGTACTAGATAATATTTTTTAATCTTGAAAATCAAAATGAAGGGTTAGGTTAAATTTTAAAGAAAAGGGATAGGAAAAAAATAAATTATGTTGACATCTATATAGTGTACATTGCATAAGCCTCTTTGACAAAGAGCATGTCACCTCATATTTGCTTACCCCATGCTCAAATCTGACTGCTATTGGGTTATGAGAATTATCAATTATGAATGAGTTCTTTTCGGTTTTTCAATAATTTAAATGACTTTAGAGTTGATCATTCAAAATTAACTTTGTACTATGCTTAGACCCTGTTTAATTGAGTTAAAAAATTGTTAAAATTTCAAATCAAAATCAACAATTAATTTTGATCACAATTCATGGATTTATAACTTTTTAACCACACATTTTATTAACTTTCATCAAAATTTACTAAAAATTTGATTTTAATATGCACCAAACAGGGACTCAATATTTTGGCCTTGGTCAATTACCAAAAGTCGATATGTTAAATGGTCAATCTTTAAAAAAATTCTCATACACAAAGGTAAATCTACATGTAATTTATTTAGATATTATACTTAATATTGACCTTTCATTTTTCTCTACCATTTTATGAGAACAAAATTTATGATAAAATGTTTTGTTTTGAAGAATATCTACTATTTATTAAAAGTGTGGATTAAGGAGAAACTTTTGAATACCGATTTTACCCTTACTTATTTAGCTATATGTCAATTCTACATTTATATATTTAATATAGTAACATCTAATAGAATTTAACTTCATTTAATATCCATTTAAGTGCAATGCTATTAATTAAAGTAAAAAATATTTTTTAATATCCATAAACGGGTATTTAATGAGCTCCTTAAACATTCATTTTTCAATTTCATTTTGAATTAATGCTATTAGTCAAATTAAAATAATTTTTTTAATATCAAATGAGAATTTAGGGCCATTATTTGAGTTCCTTAGACAACACTCATTTTCAATATCATGTTGAATAAATTGAATTAATGTTCTTAAAAAAAATTCCTTATATTTTTAGTTATAAGTCAATTCTACCCTTATATATTTAATATAGTACCATTTAATATAATTTAATTCATTTAATGTTCATTAAAGTGTAATTAATCAAATTAAGTTTAATTACTTAGATTACATTATTTAAATTTAAGGTTACCACTTAAAATCTAAGCTTTCGTATAGATGTAGTTTTATTATAATTATATAATAAAATTTATTAAAAGTTGCATTAATATAATGGTAGAATAATTATCATACAAAATAATATTTATTATATTTTTAATATGATTATATATGTAGACGAGCTTTGATTTTAAGTGATTAAACTTAATTTAGTTAATCTAAAATTATGAGTACGCCAACATGAAAAATGAACTCTATATTTAAAAGGAGACTACACGAAATTAAAAGTTAATTAATCTATCTTTAGTGCTACTTTTAATATATTATAATGTTATTTTATACGTACATGTATATATATATTATTATTTACATACGTGAGCTTTACTTAAAATCAACATTCATCTACTTATATAATTATATTATGATTACAATATATATAAAAATAAAATGGGGATATTGATGAGAAATGTTCAATTTACTATTTTGTCCTTATATAACAGTGTCAATATTTTCATTCAAAAATTATAAATAACTTGATTTTGGTTTCGGTTCGAGAGATTTCGATTTCAATTCAGGAGGTTCCTTTCGATTAAAATGCTCACCTCTATATAGAATATATCTTTTTTCAAAATTTTCTTGCAAATTGCAATTGAGGCCTTGTTTGATTTTCCTTTTTTTTCCAATCACACATTTGTTCAATAAATAATCTTGCACATAAATTCAAAATTATTTAAAACTTTTTAACTACGCTCTTTTTTTAAAAAATTAATAATTTTTAACAAAATTCAATCCAAAAAGATGTACACCAAAGATTTTATCGAAATCTGGAAGTGCAAGAACAGGTGCTGTACAGATCGTCTTTGATCAGTTTTTTTATAAACCTCCGATAAAATGTTGTTAACCCATGGAAGCTTCGCACGTCACTTACTGTAGTTGGTGCTGGCCAACTTCTACTCGCTTCAACGTAGCCCAAAAACAACAATGAATCCAAAAGAAACTCACATTTCTTCATATTGGCATAAAGTTTCTCTTCATCCAGAACATCTAAGACCTTTCTCAAGTGCGAAGAATTCAATTACTTTGATGAGCTATAAATTAAAATGTCATCAAAATAGACTACTAGAAAACTTCCCATTGAACGGTTTTAAAATGGTTCATCGAATTCATGAAGATTCTTGGGGCATTTGATAAACCAAAAGGCATCGCCATCCATTCATATAAACCATCTTTAGTTTGGAATGCCATTTTCCACTCATCACCCTCCTTAATTCTAATTTGACGGTACCCACTTTTAAGATCAATCATTGAAAACAATTTTGCCCCATGCAACATATCCAATATTTCACCTTATCGAGGTATTGGAAAGCAATACTTTACAATTATTTTGTGGATAGCTCGACTATCACACACCGTCCTCCATGTACTGTCTAGGGACTGCACATAGGTCGTGGATTCCTTGATATACCCCTTTCTCAATAATTCTTCAGCCTGCCTCTGCAACTCTTCATTCTCTTTTGGGCTCATCCGATAGTGTGGCAGATTTCTGAGACTAGATCCAAGGATTAAATCAATGTGGTGTTGTATGACCCTTTTTGGAGGCAACCAGTCTGGCAAATCTGTAGGAATTACCTCCTCGAACTCCTTCAATGAGACTTCCAGTTCAGCAGGAATGATTGGTTGTTTTTCTTGTGCTTCTTTAACTGAAAGCATAAATACTAGTTCATTAGCTGCTAACTTGAGCAAGAATTTCTTGGAGGTTAAATATGCATGCCTTTCTTCCTTTTTAGATTTAGGATAGGGAAATTCTTCATCTTTCATGGATGCAAGGACCACCTAAACTCCATTCTTGTAGAATGTATAGATGTTTTTCTCCCTAATGTGGACAGTTTTGCTATCAAATTGCCGCAGCCG